GTCAAGAAATGTTTACTGTTGCTACGCAGGGGGGCGTGGCTTCATTATTCAATAGTGTTTTTTATCAAATTTTTCTCGACGAATCAGATTCAAGTTATTAACATGAAAGTAGAATATTCAGATATATCGACGACGTTTTATCAATTAACAATGGTAATTTCCATTCTTATGTCGATACCATATATTCTGGACTTCTGGTGAGCTAAAGATAAAAGATACCACAAAGTCTGACACATCTGTTTTATATTTGAATATTTTACTTGAAAGAGTTATGTAGTGGAATTGATCCCGCGAAGTATACGTTAAGATAAGCTCTTATATACGTTTTTCATACTAATTGTTAGTCCATTATCTATACACTGAATTGACGACGGTCTTTTCCGTTATTTCCCAATCATGACAAGGAGCACACAGCGGGTATGACCGGTCGGCAGGGGATGCTCACTCCTCCACGACACCTGATCCCACCTCTGATGGTTTGGAGGTCCGTGTTTTATGGAAAAAAGGACAAAGAGACAAAAATGATCTAAATATAACCCCTAGAAATATTCAAGCTACATTAACAAATCGAATTCAGGTATAGAATCATTCCCCACGATAAATTAAAGTCCAGGCTGTATGATAACATTGACAGCTGCTTTTTCAGTAAAAGTGGAACTCGTAAATTTACTTACCTGGTTACAATATTATTTTGTTAAAACACATTCTGATTGCACACACAAGTACTCTGAAGTTGACATCAAAAAGATGCTTGAATTTCTGACTGACAATATCTATGTGATCTAAGAGACCAGGTATTCCAACAATCTATTGGAATTCCGATGGGTACAAATTGCACTCCGTTATTAGCAGACCTATTTTTATATTCATATGAAGTAGAATATGTGCAAAATCTTTTGCGTTAAAAGAAGAAAAAACTTGCTGTGGCCTTCAATTCGACATTAAGATATATCGACGACGTATTGTCAATTAACAATAGTAATTTCCAAACCTACGTCGACACGATATATCCTGGTGAGTTTGAGATTAAAGATACCACAGAGTCTGACACATCTGTTTCATACTTGGATATTTTAATTGAAAAAGACGTGAATAATAATCTAACAACCAAGCTATATGATAAACGCGATGATTTTAAATTTATCTATCGTAAAATTCCTTTACTTATGCAGCAATATACATTCATCAATTACATATGGAGTTTATATATTTCAGTTGATTTGATAGACAGGAGCATTCTGTACGTACTAACAATTTCTAACACGAGGAATTTATTGACAAACAAATTGACGAAGCAAAACTATCAGCAGCCTCGTTTGAATTCATGATTTTGTAAGTTATATGGTCGATACAATGACCTTGTCAGAAAATACAATTTATCTTTGAGTCAAATGCTGGCTGATGTTTTTTATACTAGTTGTTAGTTCATCAACGAAAAATATTCCCGTCATCTCACGATCATGACAAGGAGCACACGGCGGGTGTGACCTGTCGGCAGGAAATGCTCACTCCACCTGATCAACCTCCAATGTTTCTGATGTCTGTGTTTGCTCTGATCTTGAATACTGTTTGTTTTCATCATATGTTTCATTACATTTTTCTTAATATACGAGGGTTGATCAAAAAGTTCGCAAACTATCTCTATATCTACGAAACCACAATTCAGATTAGAATGAAATTCGGTACACACATAACCATACACAAGGTCTATTAAAAAGCATATGCTGAATAAAGTTTTTCTCCTTGTTTGTGACGTCACAATGTGAAAATGACGTCACTATGTAGGTCACTTGTGACGAAAAATGGTTGTCTCAGTCGAAATTGTTAAACAAACGACTGCGCGGGTATGTTAATGCAGCACATGGATCAGAATTCGGCGAATTAACGCTTTTTTTATTACATGTAACACTAATAAATCGGAACAGTCATGGATAAAACTTTGACTATCATTATGCATTCTATAGACGTCAATGACACATATACTACAAGAGGCACTACACCACGACGTCACAACGTGACGTTTATAATTAGAAAAAAATGCCTTAATGAAAAAGTGAAAAGTTCAACACTACTCCGGAGATAACGAATTTCAATTTGTAGTAATAGTTATGTAAAAACATCTCTGTACCATGAAAAGTGCTGCTAGAATCCTACTGTCCTATCACAGAAATAATTTTTCAACACTTTCGGAGGAAACCTTCCCAAAATTTTTACATTTTGTTCATAACATTAAAAAAAATGCATCAATTCCCGTAAACCATACGATTCTAGCAGCACTTCCTAAAACAATAGAATAAGAACTTTAAACAGAAACAAAAATGAAGTTTCAAAGTATGCGGCGTAGTGTTGAACTTTTGCATCTTTTTTGTTACGAACGACAGAGGAAAGGCTGATCGGCAAGTAAACACCCTTTCTGCTTTTATTTTACGAAGAAACTGTAGAGTTATATTAGCATACCTTATTCAAAAGCTTTAATCCCACATGATATTCATTTCTAAATGCTTTTAAACTCCGGTTTCTTGTGTTTGTTTACATGAATTCTCGTTATGTTTCACTTTCACTCTGCTACTGCATGATCAACAGTTATGACGTCACGGGTTTGGTATTTAACCCCTGTGATAAATACAGAGACCCAGAAAGGACAAAATTCCGTTTCTATTATGCCTCTGCATATTTTGATCCCATTTACGATCTCAAATCAATCTTTGAAATCGATTTTAAGTAATTGTTTTCTCTAAAACTTCACGTCATATAGCTTACTATGACGTCATATTAGACAGGCAAGTAGAATGTTTGGTTGTAACCTTAACATACCTGCGTGTACAATTTATTGTATATCTTCAAAATCCCTCTGCTGTATGATATAATAATTTGTACACAGTTTATTGAGATAAATAAGTTCCTATAAATTCAATTAATGATTGGATTGATCGTTTTAGTGAAGAAAGGCAGATGGTTAAAAATGATACAGGTCTGTCATCTTGCCCAATGAAAGCAAGTTTGAAAAGATAATGTATTTTTAATTAAGCAATTTGCTATAATGACCTCCAATAAACACTTTGAAAAATAGTTGAATATTTGAACAATAATATAATTATCAAATACCTAAGATATCGTTTACTTTAGATTTTAAAAATATTAGATATGATAAAAAGGAGGCACCCATTCTCTATCCACCTTGAATAAAGGTATCTCCCAAGACAGTAAATTTGTGATTTAATAGTCGTCATGCTTAATTTTGGAAAGGATATTCTTATCCACCCATTCTGTTGCCGAGATATGACCATTTCTGACAAATGAACTGTTCTTGTCATGAAAATTAATTCACCTGGAAAGTAATATAACACTCAGAAAAATCTTTCAACTTTTGTGACAGAACGATCCGGAGAGGGTCACGTGACCGCCAATATCACGTGATTCACGCATGTGCAGAACGATGGTTGATGTGCATTAAAATAGCCGAGGATTAATTTAAAATATAATCAACATTGAAACCAAATATCGTTTCTTTTATGGAAGTTATTCAATAAGTTTGCGAACGTTTTGATCACCCCTTGTATGTCATAGGAAATTTCTTATGAACAATCTTTAGGGATTTTCGTAAACATGCCTGCTGATTCGTATTATTTAACATTTGTACTCTTTAGCTTGTATGCGTTCAGCATATTTATTAACCTACAGTGATGAAAAAGAAGAAGATAAAGACCTCAAAAGAGGTTGCTTTGCACGCGTTATTTTACGCGTGGATTTACGAAGATATATTTTATGTAAATATGGCCTTAAATAAATGAAAACTGCAATAATTAATCTCAAACATCAACTGCAATGAAGAAGACAGAAAAACCTTAAGTTTGACATGAATTATACATATATAAATATTTTCAATGCTTATTATTTTGTGATTAACTACTTCATTTAGCCTTTTGAAGATGATCTTTGCTGACATAGCATGGAAGCAATTATTCTCAATGTTCAATCTAGATCTTTAACTAGTTTCTATCTTTCATTAAATAAAAAGGATTTTCCGCGGGGATGGAAAACGAAAGAAGAGATGATACATGCCTCAAGGTTTGGTCAATCGAGCGATTTCTATTGACTTTATTGATAAAATTGCGAGCTCCGGTGCTTTTATAGACGATGTCAAATGTTTTCATCCAATCTTAAAATGTCGTATCTACTGTTTCTTGGCAGTGATGACGACGCAATTCATCGTAACAGTAACCAATGTAATCGCAGATCTAGAGCGGGACCTAGCTTTATTCGTTCTCATCCGAAGGACCGATCTCCACGTCCCAAAGTAATATTAGAACCCGCGACATAAGGATCAACTGCTAGTGCAGATGCTCCAACCACTGCGCCACCCTGGCGACGTGAAGCAAATGTAAATGTATGGAAACCAAACAAATATTAATTTTCTCAATCCACTGGTATTGAACAAAATATCAAAAACAAAGACCCCAGAGATGGGAATAGGTGCAGAGAAGTAAATATCTCCCACTGACCTGTCACATCTGCGACTGGTCTAACGTAGGTGCAAAGTAAACTCTATTGTACAATTTCGAATAAAACACCAGATGATATTTAATGTGTGGAAAGTTACTTTAAGAAGCTAACTCCTCCATGACACCTGATCCCACCTCTGATGTTTTGGAGGCCCGTGTTTGCTTTGCTTCTATTTTGTGTTGTTTTATGAACTTTTGATCTTGTATACTGTTCGTTATTTCCATTTGTTTCATTATAAGACTAAACAATCGGTATGAAACAAGTCAGCCAAAAGAAGACCCATTGCTATCTTATATTTGAAAACTAGAGTTTTATAACGACCAAAGACTAACGATTTTGTCTCTAAACGATGACTTGAAAAATCCTGTTATAGTCTTCGTTGTTTGAAAACAATCAGACTGTACCTACGCAAGGCATGTGCCTTGTGATGATGGTTTTATTTTAGTCAAAGCGACCAACTATGAGTAACCCTTTCACGAATCTTGCCTTTTTTTCAGACATGTCTGACACAGAACTTACTTATGACAGTTATCTTGGTGTAAGTGTTGCATTTATTATCAAACAGTTCTTGTATTTAAAGAGGCTGGGTGGTCTTGGCCATTTTTAGACTATTTTGATCTCCTTTAGAAGAAGAGCTCCATATAAAAATATAATAAAATGATCAAATTTTAAAATTAAAATTAAAATTAAATTTTATGATATGTTCCTTTGCCAAATGATAGTTGACAGCTTAAGATATCATATCCCAAAATTTAAGTTATATCTGGTGGTTAATAAAAAAAATAATTTGTTGACCACCTAGCCTCCTTAATGCTTATTAAATATTTTGTTAATTTTAAATAAAAAATATTGGCACAATCTATTTTCACAATTCAAAATGTTTTTTAAGGACATGTAAAATTGAAAGTAAATTTTATTTTATCTTTTTCAGCTAGATAAATTGCTCCATTGTCAGGATCTGGAGACTGAAAAGGCTGGGAATAAAGTCGACGAAGAACACCTATTTATCATTGTTCACCAAGGTCCATTTCTTAAATTTTCCAACTGAACAAGCAGTATTATTTAAAGAAAAGTCAATACCAAAGTTATTCTCAAGAATTTTTAAAATCAAAATTTAATTTGTTGTACATATATATGTAGTTTCTTAACAAGCGAATTGAATTGTTGAAAAAATGAATCCACAAAAAAAAAATAAGGATCGTTCACATAATTTATTCAGAAAAGAATCTATGATAAAACTTCAAGTTTCAAAATATGTTCTCTTTATCTTTTCTAGTGTTTGAGCTTTGGTTTAAACAAATCCTTGTAGACCTACGTACAATTGTAGGAACGTTTCCAAAGCTTGTAAGTCAATGCTGCAGTTTCATGAAAAAAATGTCAACAAATTTGACGAAATTTAGTTTATCTTTAGTGGCTTTCTCGGGCTTTCTCATCCTTCTTAAACAAAAGCATTATTTTTCTTTTTAGAAAATATTTAATAATAATTTTAGAGAAATTTCGTTCATGTCAATCATATCAATCTTTTCTTTCATCATCGTCGTGTAAGTAAAAAAATAGTCAAAGTAACTGTTTAAGTATGCATACTTTGGCCAAAGGTCAGTACATTATTTTTATGTTTTAGTACTAAGCAAATATGTTAAATACTTTAGGATGTTAAAAACAGAGATTTTGCTGGGATACCATCAAAGCTCGGACGAATCATTCTTATTCTAAAGGTAATGAGTCTGGATATTCACATGATATAGAAAATAACATGGTAACTTTTTATATGATTATTATCCTAAAACTTTTTAACAGCCTATGCATAGTGTAAGTGGGCTACTTCTCTGTAAAATCTATTTTATTTTGTATCATACATTAGATACATATATCGTTCTTTAAGTGTAAGGCATAATGGCAGAAATAATATATGTTTATCAATAAATGGCAAGCTGGACTTAGAAAGCCTCTGGAAAGTTGATTTTCAAGTTTAGATCTAGTTGAAACTGAAACAACATTGCAAATGCCAGATTTTATAGGAGTCTTGTCTTACTTATGTCACGCTTTCAATAACGGTCATTTAGAGACCTCTCACGTCCAATTTGCCCTTCATTGATGAATATAATATTTCTGCAATGGTGTTTTACACTAAAAGCATGAAAATGAAACTCAATTCATGAAAAACATGAGTTTCTTTAGCCAAAGGACAGTGCAGTATTTTTATGTTTAGTATTAGGAGAAGCACTTACTTTTACAGTTGACGGTTTACTGTCTCATGTTCAAACATGTCTCATGTAAGGAGGTACAGAAATTATGAAAGCAAAGAAAATCTTTCTAGTGGTCATAGGTATGGTTTAGGGGCACTAACATGTAAAACCAAAAGTTTATCGTAGGTTGGTTGACATTTTCTTTCAATTGATTAAATGTTGAGCTGATTATCTATATTGTAAAGGAGCTTCCAGACATTGTCAAAGTGTAAAAAGTAAACGGTCAACTGTAAAAGTCAACGCTCCTCAAGAAAGTCCATTAATCAATAACGGTAAAACATTGCGTGGATGTTAAGGGCAGGAACATTTATTTTAATAAAAAGATGAAGCTTAGTTTCTTTAAACCTCTAACCTGTATTGTCAATGTAGCTAAGTGAGCACATTACTCAAGTAGATCCGTTTAAAGTATGACTCTGAATCTCTTTAATTTAATATACAATCTTTAGTAAATGGTTTCCAAAAACACTGTAATGATGTTTTAAGAAGCCGAAAGCTTTGTCATCACGAATCATCACTCTCATGACTTCTCTTAGACTTTCGCAAGAAATATCTTTATAACCTTAATGAAATTACTAGAAAGGTTAATATCTCTTAAATTATTTTAAACGTCGTGCATAGAAAGATCACAAGTAGGCTTTAAACTCGACAAACATGTACTGTACAATCACTACTTATTATCAGATTATCAATAGCTTTTCTCATTCATGGAATATTATACAATTATGGACTTCAGTGTAGGTCGATATGTGGTTATAAGGACTCATGGCAATTGATATTGACCGAAGACACAGAAAGTGATAGTGACTGAGCCTGCGAGGTCGCTATCATTTTATGTGTCTGAGGTCAATATCAATTGCCATGAGTCCTTATAACCACATATTGACCGTTCACTGAAGTCCATAATAGTTATATTATATAATCACTCAAAGTAAATGCACTGACACAGTCCTAACTGAACGGACTTGGCTGGCATTACGTCACAATGGTTAAAAACACGCTTCTTATATTATGACGTCACGTTTTACGTAAATTCAGTGCAACTGAACGGCGTGTTGTGCGAAATCATTTTCCGCGGACGCGCTTTCGCGTCGCTATCGCAAAAGGAGGAATATCACGTGACGTACTTTCAGCCAATGAAAATTACGAAAATAATCTCCTTATATAATATTATACACCTATTTACTGGCTATAAGGACAATAGCAAGTTTATCGTTCCCCAAGACAGCAAACTACCGGGTATTTCCCGAGGCGCAGCAGAGGGAAATAGATTGCTGTCGAGGGGAACGATAAACTTGCTATTGTCCGAATAGTCAGTAAATAGGTGTTTTATTATACCGATGCTGACTTAACTTTTGTTAACTTTTGGGAGTCCAGGGTACACACAGTTATGATATTCCATATTATACCTATGCTGACTTAACTTTTGTTACGTCATAATACCGTATAACGGGTATTTTTTACGTGCTGCTAATTTTTACTAATTTTTACGAGTTTTGTAAATCCGTAAAATTTAAACGCGTAAAATTTCACATAATTTATAAAACGGCTCGTGTAAATTTTCAACATTGAATGTGTAAAAGTAATGCTAATTGTCATTGAGCTCACTCCCTGGAGGCTATATAATTAGTACTGTTGGTAATTTGAGCACTTTTAAGTCAATTATCAATTGGGATCATACAGGTAAATCTCAATTAACTTGTATATATATTACTAACATCGTCAATTAAATTAATCAGTTAGACCTACCTGGTTACTCTTTTTTAGTATTTTTACGAGACGCATACCTTCTGATAATAGAGAGGTTGAGATCTTAAACTTGTACGCGCACGTGTACTTGTATATATTTTGACGTACACGTATACGTTTTTTTTTTTAATTTGTCGGTTGAGATTTTTAGGACGTGTAACATGTACGTGTACACCGCGATCTGTGTCTCTGTTTCAACTACTTAGGTTTTTTGTCGTCAGTTAGTAAACAAAACTTGATGAAAATAAGTGCTCGTGAAAGTAAACATCCTATATAATGTATAACTATCACATTTTCACACTTAAATTGGCTAATTTTTGTGATTAAAGCTACACGTTTTTAACTTACGTGTAGATTCCATTCTACAAGTTTTACGAACGTGTAGCAATCTTGACGTCACTAAAATTGATGACGTAATACACACAGAATTTAGGTTATTCCCCTACTAGACGTACCCGTACACGTACACATTTGAAATCTCAACCTCTCTAATGACTTAATAATTACAGAACTTCCAATTATACCCATGTTTTCAATCTTTGACACTTTCTTCTGTTCAATGTGCTTTGAATAAAAGTTCGTCTTCTTACTTTCACTTCAAGATAGTTTGAGTTGTCTCTCTTTGTTTTCGGTAAATACCAGACGAGCACGTGGTGTGTCTAGTAGCTATGTGTTTTATAAAATATGAACAAATAACGGGTACATTGTTCATGAATATAAAGGTAAATGATTAAAAAAATATATACATTAAAACCCCAGTCACATTTCCAAAAACGACCAACGGCCGACGGGTTTTGAAGCAAAAATGGGCTTCTTCGGGTGACAGTCGGCAGTTTATCGGCCGTTGTCTTGCCTGATTTTGACCTCTTGTTTTGTCGGCCGACCATTTTTGTGTCCATCGGTCCAAGTATGGCCGATTATAATTTAATAAATCTCTCTCTCTCTCTCTCTTCTCTCTATGTTCATTATTTCGGGTTTAAAATCAAACTGTAGCTCAGAGCTCGATGATTGGGCGACGATTGGCCGACTTGTGAATATTTAACCCATTATGATACATAACACCAACAAAATTTTGATGCTTGGATTGAAATACATTTTTTGAACGGAAACAACTTAAAAATAATTATTCCATAAGATTTAAAGAAATATTAAATTTTCTTTGTTGCTTTTATGCAATTCCATACAAAATTGTTCACACATTTTCAACATTGAGTCACAAATTTACAGTATTCTGCCACTTTGCCTTGCAAACATTACTTGCGTCACCCATCTGAATATAGATCTATGAAAAATATTGCTGATTTTCTAAAGAAAAAAGATCGTTTGATTTATCCAAGTCATCGGTGTCCCTAGGAAATAATGTGACTGTTCCGTGTCGCCCGATACTGTGTCGGCCGATCATGTTCTTTCAGCCGACAGGACCAGAAAAATTTGGTCGCCCGACCATCGTCTTAAATGTGACCTAGGCATAATATGTAACTTGTTGCATTGTTTATATTGTTATAATTCAATAAATCTCTCTCTCTCTCTCTCTTCTCTCTAGCATCGGGTTTTCGGGCACATTATTTGTACGTAAACGCATTCTAAGTGCTAACAATCAGTGATCTGGAATTTTACTGATGATTTTAATTTTTACGGACATGTTCAATTCGTAAAAAATTAACGTGCAAAAATTTAAATCACCCTTTTTTGACCAAAATTCGTAAAAATTTACAGCAGTAAAAATTACCCGTTATACGGTATATGCGCGTCACAATCCGTAAAAAACCAGAAGTTTTCCGAGATGAAAAGCGAGGGAAACAGAATGCTGCCGGTGAATAGTTTGATGACTATTTCACCATGGGCAGATAGCACAAAAACTATTTCACAGTAGGGGCTGTTTGGAAAAGATAGCATGTTTATTCGTCATGTTTTTATATTGAACAAATTCACAGAGGTATAATAAATAGAAATACCGAACAGTATTCAAACTCAAAAGTTCATTTCACAATTCTGTTTGTTATCTAGACATATTTGAAAACAAATAAGGAGCAGAGCAAACAAGGAACTTCTAAATATCAGAGGTGGTACATGCATCAGGAACCATCCTGAATTTCTCAGCAAGCACCGATACAGAGCAACCACACTAAGCGCCCCCGGGAAATTTGAAAATCAAATTGCATGCAATAATTTGCTTGCGCCTGAGATCAATCTTTGTTGATTAGAAATCTGCTGTTAATAAATATACATGTGAAATTCAATAAATTGGAAAAAAACTTTCTACCGGCAGTATGCTAGATTTATTTTCAGATTACATGTCAAACACATCACCTGACTCTACTTCTTGGTTTCCCAGAGAAAACAAGCGGTATTTTTAAATAATGTAAATACAAATCTGTGAACAGGGCATAAAACACATCGGGGAATTCAAGAAGGTGAAACAGGTGCGAAGATGGAGCTCGAGTAAGCAATTCATGTGAACAGGTCACACGCAGTGTGAGGTCTATGTATTGATCATACAGAGCGATAATTCAGTATTGAAACAAAGTATTCAAGTTAATGTCTAACAATTGGCATGAAATACACCCACTTTATAGGTCGTTTCTGCTAACAGCCTCATTACATAGTGATAACAATCTTACTCAATAATATATTTGGAGTGAAACGTATGGAAATAATGAACTGTATTAAAGATCAAAAGTCCATAAAAACAATACAAAATAAGACTGAGCAAAAACGGACTTCCAAAACATCAGAGGTGGGCCAGGTGCCAAGGAGGAGTGAGCATCCTTTGCAGAGCGGTCATTCCTGCCGTGTGCTCCTTTTTATAATAGGAAATTAACAATAAAAATCGTCAATTCAGTGTATAAATAATGGTCTAACAATAAGAATGAAAAACGTCAGCTAGCATTTGATTCAATGGTAAATTGTATTTGCTGACATTGTATCGACCTTAGAACTTACAAAATGATTACTTTAAACGGGACACTTGATACTCTTGTTTCATCAACTTGTTTGTCAAAAATTGACATCCATTTAGAATTGCTCATACGTACATGTAGAGCATGCTCTTGCGTTTCGAGTCAACTGAGATATATAAACTCCATATGCAGGTGATGAAGGTATATTGCTGCATAGGTAAGAGGAGGCGACGATTGAAAAATATCGTATCGGCATAGGAATAGAAATATCCAATTTTAATTGACAGTATGCCGTCTTTATATCTTAATGTGTAGTTGAAGGCCACGGCAAGTTTTTCTTCTTTTCTCGTATAACATTTTGGACAAATTTTGCTTCATCTGAATACAAAGATAGGTCTGTTAATAACGGGGCGCAAATGGAAATTCCAGTAGATTATTGGAAGACCTGGTCTCCAAAAACCACATAGATATTATCAATCAGAAACTAAATCATCATTTCAATGTCAACTTCGGAGTACTTGTGTGTGCAATTAGGATTTTGTTAACAAAATCATGTTGTAAATGACCAATAACAAGACTAGGAAAATTACGATTATTGAAAAAGTTTATCGTGCAGGAATGGTTGTGTATAAAGCTGAAGAGTCGCAAGTTTTTAAGCTGTTGATTTTGGTAAATTACTGTGATTTAAAATTTACCTAATGTTTCTTGGAATTTTAAGTATCCACATCTGATTTACATCAATTCTCGAATATATTGTGCACAGTACTCTTTAATTTCTTTCCCATCACTACTGTTATTATCTTTGTGAGGAGTAAAGAGAGAGGCTCTGTTGAATATTTACTGGAACCTGCAATGTGTCTAAGAAATGATATTCTGCATTTGTATCGTATTATTTTCTTCTAGTTAATCATTGGTCATTTTGAAATCATTGAAACGATGCCTCCGGCCACCTTTCTCAATTTTAGGTAAGTAATTAACAAAATCATTGATAATTAAGTTTTTATTTAAAGCAATATTTAATGCAATATGAACCGCATTTATAAGAATTTCAATTTGCTGCCAAAATGTGTTGTTTAATAAATCTGTATGTAATTTTAAATCTTACTGATTAATAAGACTAAAAAAATTTATTTCTTTTTAGAGAAAATGTTTCTGTACAATAGAATGTATAGTATTATATAAAAGTATTATATAGTATTATATTATTTTCTGAACTATTCTAATTTCTCTGATAAGCTCAAACTTGATCGTATGAACAGAATATAGACTTTTGTCACTATTAAGACTTTCAACAGCATATCAACTAGATGTTTTTTATATATACTATAGCTTGATGTTAACAAAATTCAACTCCTTTTCATAAGTTTTTTGTTCTGTAATAATTGTTTGGATGTAACAATGCCTTGGATAGGAATATACTTTACTTTAAAATATATTGGGTGTATTTTCATAAATTTTAATAAAACACATATTCTTTGAAATTATAGCATACCCATAAATAATCTTTCAAAAACACAAATAAGGAAAACATTCAAGTTTCTTTTTTTAGTCTGTGCTAAACAACATCGCAGATATTGCTTGTGGAATGTTCTTATTCTTTTCAAATTTGGTTTTGATAATGTTTTTAGAAAATAATATAACAAATGTAGCCGTTTCATTCAGTCAATCCATAGTTATATCAACTTCACAGAAAAGCATATCAACCTCGCATTTCGAGCACAGTCGATATGCATTTCTGTGAAGTCGATCATATCTATAAATCGACTTCATGAAAGGCTTATACTTATATTTAACTATTATATAAGAAATCAACATTGTACAGGCCGACAATAATGTAATTTTTGTTTAATAAAAAAACGTCTATTTTAATTTTTGGACTTGAAGAAAATACTTAAAAAGTGGATCTGGATTTCAAAGTCTACAATTCCGTCTAATTGAAAACACCCTAGGTCTTCTGAAGGTAAGCTAGTAAATAAGAGGGTAAATTAAGTTATCTTAATTTAGGGTTGGGTCTAAAGATAACATTTTTAAATATTTTGTCAGGAAACAAGGAAAGCACACAAACAAGGCAAGGACTATACAGACGAATTTAACGCAACACAAAGGGTAGAAGCAGAAAAGTCCGAAAAAGGGCCTTCATTGTTTGCTGTTTTTGAGGTGATAAGCATTCAGCTTAAAAAAAGTTAAACTTTTAAAAATTGGTAAAACTCCAGTAACATGAATATTACCAGTTCAAGCGGTACACAAGCTATAAATCCTTTTCCAGCTGCTGATTCAATGCACTATGCCCATCCACCACCCACCAAATGAAAAAAAACGATGAATTTAATAATCACCTAAAACATGCGTCACAAGTGCAATTCTTGTTTGGTAACAAAATTATCTATAATACCTGAGCTGTACATAAAAAAATAATTAAGGCAAGATTTAAAATTAATAGCATTCAAAAAAAAAAAAAAATTGAACATCAAGTTCTCGGAATATTTTCCCCTTCTTTTGCATGTCTATAGATTACCTTTATTTTATTCAGTCGAAGGAATGGGCTATTGGTCGATCGATTTATCGAGAGAGAGAGAGAGAGACAGAGAGAGAGAGAGAGATTGATTGTATGTTGTTTAAGTCTCTCTCAAGAATTTTTCACTGATATGGAGACGACACCACTAGCTAGTAGAAAACTAAGAATTTTGTTATATACTCGGCATTCAGGGCCACTCAGCAGTGAGGGATCTTTTCGTGTCAGCACCTACTGCGATCAGGACCACGGTTTACACGATATCATCCTTAGGACCGATCTCCACATCCCACAGTGGGATTCGAACCCGCAACGTAAGGAACGACTCTTTACTTCGCGACTCTAGAGCAGACGCTATAACCACTGCGCCAAGAGGGCGAACGAGAGAGAGAGAGAGAGAGAGAGAGAGAGAGAGAGAGAGAGAGAATATACATACTTTACATTAATTCTCATTTTAAATGTATCATCAAAGCTAATTAAGGCTGTATCAAAACAATTCAATTTCTTAAAATATTATTTACATTTTTTCGCATTTACATCACAAAATTCACAAGTAGTAATTTTGGACTTTCATTAAATTCAGCATGGTTTTTTTTTTCCAAAATAATATTGAATAGTTTGGAGAAATATCAAGTAAACAGGATATATGCGTAAGCATATGTATGCATGTATTTCAGGACACGTATACTGAAAAGTTTTCATATTTGAATTTGTTACGCTCAACGAGACACAAAATTGTTTTCTAATTTCTAAGCAGAACCAAGTGTTTTCATGCTGATCTGTTCCTATCAAATTTAAAACTGAATATATTTCAATGCAATTAAAAATAAACATCAAGGTCAAAACATTATTTTTAATACAAGTAAATTCAGACGAATTGCACCATTTTTGTAAGTTCAAATTATAGGAATATCAACGAAACTTTTCGACTAACAGTCGAATGGACAGACGATTGAATAATAAAACGCTATAAATGTAATAAAAATGTAAAAGAAAAGATCTACTAAGGAAAATAATATTTTTTTTACACCCCTCGCTTGAATAAATATAAATTCTATTTTATTATCATTATTTAGTCTTTGTAGTTCGATTTACAAAGAGAAATTGGTCTTCAGGTCCCTTTGACAAGGTATTTTATTTTTCTCTTAGAATTGGTTGGAAAGAATATTTAGAGAGTTTGTTGATGACAAAAAAACTTATTGTGATGGCTTGGAAAAAATGGTGGATGCATGGTCGAAGGTAATACCTAGAACAATGAAAAATTGTGAAAATAAAAAAGTTAAAAATAAAAAAAAAAATTTAGGAAAAAATAATTATATCATCTTGATTTAATTTTTCAGGATGCTGGTAACCAATGCGACAAGGTAATGAAGTCCTCTAAAGAAATATTACAACATGAAATATAAGAAATATTAGAATAAGAAAATGCTACAGTACTAGTGTATACTTAGATAAAATAATCACAAGAAAACATTTATGTAACAATCATTTGTCGCCCGGGAAATCAATGAAGTACACAATGACAATGAGTCTTTATCATCAAACCACTTCAATATGTGTGAAAAAGACATGCGTCTGAATGATGAAGACGATAGTCCAGAAGATTTTGAAAACATACATGTATGAGGGGTGATCAAAAAGTTCGTGAACTATCTCTATATTAACATCAAAGTACTGAGACAGTACTGAAAGACGGGGTCAAAATAATCTCCATGCTAGATTTCACAAATGTAATTTTTTATTTTACGAGTTTTAATAACAACTTTATTTTTTTCATTAACATACTAAAAACAAAACTATTAATAATATACATTCACATTTTTCATTTAATTTGATTTGAAGTAGAAATTTTAATAATTGCTCGGTCTTGAAACCTTTCTGAACTGCTCCGAATTTCATCAGGTACGAACTAAGAATTTTTCCCGAAGTAAACAATGGATGATGCGTACACAGTCATAATAATACGCAGGATAGTACTTTGTCTACTAGTGTTATTTACAGTTAATATTTTCAGTTTTAAATTATCAAAATACTTTATAAGTTGAGTTAGACAAAGGTTCATATCAATTTCTTCAGTTTGAAACAAATTGTTTATGTTTTGATCGAAACAATTTCTGCACTCTTTCGTATGCGTAGATTTAATTCATGTGTTATCACCACGGCTTCCGATTTCTATTTTTAGGCCTCTGAGAGTAAACTAAAAGACGGGGTCACGTGACCCCGTCTAAAAACCACGATTCAAATCAGAATAAATTTGGCACACCTATATAGCCATGCACATGTTCTATAAATAGCATATGAAAATTAAGTATTGTCTCCATCATTGTGACGTCACAATATGAAAATGACGTCAATGTGTAGGTGACTCGTGTCGAACAATGGTTGTCACAGTCTTACTGAAGAAACGGACGGCTGTAATGTTTAACGTATAACTTGGATATTCCTTTGAAGTATCTTATAATAATGTGTACAAGGTTAATAAAGACAATACACTTTCCGGAACTTTAATCATTGATTGGATTGATTGTTTTAGAGAAGGGAGGGAGATGGTTAAATATGACGTTTATTTTGTAGCCCAGCGAAAGCAAGCTGAGGCAGAGATGTGTCCTTTGTTGGGCAATTTCTTAGAAAAGATTGCAAAGTTTCTGTTAGAAAAATAGTGGAATATCTTTATAATATTTATATTATTAAATTCCTAAAATATTGTTTAATCCTTATCCAACAATCCTATTTCCGAGATTTGGTCATTTCTGACAAATGGAATGTTTTTGTTATATAAATTAACTCGCATGGTAAGAAAAAAAGAATTGGAAAAATATTTTAGCATCTTTAAACAGAATGCTTCAGAGCATGTCACGTGATCGCCTGGATCAAGTGATTAGCGCATGAGCAGAACTTTGGCAGATATGCATTAAAATCAGAGAGGGCTACTTGAAAAAATAATGAATACTGAAACCTAATTTTATTCGTTTTATGAAAGTTATTCAATTTTTTCGCGAACTTTTTGATCACCTCTTATAGAAGGATGAAAATCGAAGAAAAACGATACATTTTTCAACTTAATCAACTCCTTCCGTAAATGTTGGCTGCATAAAATATCAATTAAAATCAGACACATTCATCATCTATTTTTTTAAAAAATAAATTTCACTTAAAGAATATAAAACTCGAACGGTGACGCATACGTTTTTATGCGAAAGTAAAATTCAATGTTCGAAAAAAAGGACCTGCAGTTTTTTCGATAGTTAATGATAAGCAACTTAATATATTAATTATGAAAAACAAAATGTATTTTTAAAGGGTCACTGTATGGAAGTAAATATTTTTTTGTATATCGTAATTTATAAAGGTAAAGAACATTCTGATGTAAAATCTTTTTTAATGTTTAGATAACCTTTAATTCTGAATAACTTCTCCCACCTCAATTCAATTCACCGAAACTTAAACTTATATGTATAGAACAGACCGGTCATCCGGGCTGCAATAATAATTCCTTATTTGATTCAGGATGCATTAATGGGAATAATAGAGGAGAAGAAGTACGAAAAGAGTGGTGAGTTAAATAAAGAGAACAAGTTATATCGATTGATCATAAATTCATCATACATGTAAACTACTATATATATGAGGGTTGTTCGAAAAGTTCGTGGACGATGCCAGTCTTTGTTATATTACTCACTAGAAATTTAAAATAAGCACAATATAATACTAGTATGTAAAATATTGTTTTGTTGACATGTGAAGTTTCATTCCATTCAATTGAATAGAAATCAATTTACTTCATTTTAAAATCAACATGTTTTGTCTCCGCGGAGCACACTTAACGGAAATGTAACGTCAAAACATAGCGTCAAGAATTTCTATAGAATACTATCCCTATATAATTCACGCGGTATAATCAAGTGCCTACTAATTAAATCCTTTTCTAATACTTGACATCCATTTTTTTTCTAAGAATTGCTCTCGTTGTATAATTTCCTTTGTTAAGGGTTTAATTTCTTTATTACCTAACTCCGCTTCCCCAGGATACGCAGCTCTGAAGCGACTAGTAAGTATGTCCTTCCTTGACCTTCCAACTTTTTAAAGTATTTGTTTAGATTTTTACAGTTAAACCGTAACTTCACAGATTGTCCTCATCCGATACAGAGTCTCTGTCACTCAAATACTGCCTGTACTATTTGTACATACATGCACAACTCGCTTGTGACATATTTTCTGTATTCCTCAAACATTTTTAGAGTTTATTTAGGATTTTTCCTAAATAAAACACAAAAATGCATCGTTATCTGCTGCTCCGTGACGTTCTAAAACGGCATTGTTTGTCGTTTTCAGTAAGGACTGCCTATCTACTCAAGGTGATTTCTTTTCAACAAAGCAAAATATAAAGCCATAATTTGGTATACGAATCGATGAAACAATTCTAAATTTGAATTATTAGGTTGTATTTCGTTTTTGCTCCATTTTACAGAAAATATGACTACAGACATTATATAGTGTATTGTCTGTAACTTACAAAATTTTGACCTGCTCCCCGATTCGATTTTTGAACTTTTAAAATTTGGATAAGTTTTGAATAAATAGTAATATTTTGAAAAGAAAAATAATACAAATCATTTTAATTTAATGTAAAAACATTTCTTCCAAATTTGGATAACATTTGACGCCAAAAAAAAAGATATGACAGTTGTCCACGAACTTTTCTAACAACCCTCGTATAACTCACTCGATGTTGAAAACAATCTAAAGAATGAAATGAATTCTCTTTGTGCATGTCCTTATTCTTACACTAAGGTAAACGGCTCAGTTATGAAGCATTTCATGGGGCGCTGCTGATTTCACTTTACCAAGAAGATCCAGAATTCCAGAAGGCATATGAAACAATTAAACTTGTGATGGATGTTGACGCTCTAGTCTCAAAATGGCGCCGTAAGGATTTTTTTGAATTGCTCATTTGATTTTAAGCATGGTAGTTATTAACACTTTCTCAAATATCTGAAAATATCTGCAAAACACAATTGTGTCTACTTCTTTTGTAGATATCATAAAATAAATACCTAATTCATTTTGTGTTTATAAGAAAACTTCTCACGAGTGTTTCATATAAATTGTATTATTTAATCCTGTCCAAAAAGGTTCCATTGGAAAGTTTAGTAATGAATTTCAAATACTTATCGTAAGAATGAAAGTTAAAATATTGAATCTACTAAAATATAAAATCTAGAAAATAGTCACTGTTAGTAACAGTTAGCATTTGAAATTGAAGTCTCTCATCACAAGCATGGGTATTTATTTAAAAAAAAAAACAACTCCACTTACATTCATAAAAGTAGGAATTTTATGCACAAATCAACTTCAAGAAATTGAGAAATCATAAACGGAAAATGTCTGAAATTACAAAAAATCATTTCTCAAATTAATACTCTGATGTTAAATTTTACTATGAAAACATAGTGTGATTAAAAAATTTTGAAATATTTTGATTTCATATTAAGTTAAAAGCAAATTTTACTTATGAAATACGAAGGCAAAAAAGCTAACTAAGCTTTAGATATTGCAATTTTTTTTTTAGGTTAAATGTTTTCGCTTAACAGAAATCACACAAATGATTGATATATCTAGATTCCCACGTGTTGATGGTACATCGGATGCTGGGCAAGAAAACAGGAACTGGTGGCACGTCGGGATACGACTACCTTAAAAAAACTAATGAGTGAGTCTTCTAAATCATAAGATTAGGTTTTAATAAACATATTTATATTCCTATTTTTCCTATTATAAAGTTTATATCATTTCTAGGATAGAGATCAACTTTTGAAGCTAGAATACTATTAAAACATCGAGTAAGTTAAGATGGGGGATAATTTCATTTTTTTCTTGTTGCAGGGACGACTACAGAGTATTTATTGAACTCTTCCACTTGTCTGCATTTCTTATTCCTTACGAATACAAACCAAAAGCGGCACTTTACAAACAAGGCGAATAGAAATGTCGACGTTTAATTTATACTACAATACGTGTTTATCAAATACATATTTGACATTTTGTGCTGATGACACTTCAAAACTATATCAAACCAAGCGTATAAATATTTCATGAATATTTTCATCGATTTTTACAGTTTGCTTTTATTAACAATGAGAGATAATCCCATAAATAAATTGAATTGTCAACTATCTCATGACTTTCGTTGAAAAAAAGACATGTTTATTTACGATACTTTTAGGTATTTCACAATTTTTAATGAATCTTGTGATGTATGTACATTGCATAATTATATTCATTAATCTGTTATTTAATTTGAATTTTATGCTTTCAATAGTCTTTGTATACAGCATTATCATGAAATCATTTAAACTTTTTCTGGCTCAGTATTTGTGGAATACAAGTATCCAAGATCCGAGAATCTATACAAGTTTATCAAATGCAACTATTTCTTTTGAAGATGTAAGTGAATACACGAAATAATTAAAAGGTCCTTAAGCACCTTACAAATTTAAGCAATCCACGAACATTTTTCCCATGAATTCAATGGTTTCACAGTAGTTTTGATAAATGAAAATCATTAAATTGTGATATGAGTTTTATGCATTTTCTAGATTTGCTGTCTTTGAAAGTTGTTGATTGTTTTTAAAATGATTTTTCATAAAATTCTTTGCAAAATTAATGTCATATTTTTTTTTTACAATTCTTTCAACCGATTTACACTATATTTTGTTATAGCGAAAACTTAAGGATCTTGTCGGGAGTGGCCGTTTAACAGGGGATTTTTTTATGCCTCTTAGGCACCTGATTCTACTTCTGGAATGTCCAGCGGTCCACGTTTTATACCTTCTTGAATAATTGTATTGTTTATAAAAATTGTGAGACTTTTATATACATGTATCTTAAACTTAAATAGATTGGTTTTAAACATAGCAATTATATAACATCTTTACTTCCACTCTGACAAAGTCGCTCGCGAGCTGCTGTGGAAAAAACATCAACTCTTGAGTCGCGGAGCTGATCTAGACGTCGCGGGTTCGAATCCACTGCATAACGTGGAGACCGGTCCTGCAATGAAAATCGTTTATACCAAGGTCACGTGCTGCAGTACATGTAGGTGTTGGTGCCAAATATATCCCTCACTGTTCAAAGGCTTTCAGATATTTCTTATCATTCTGATAAATGATCTAACAGGGACCTCAAGAACCTCGTTTAGAGAATTTCTTTAAATCTATGGAAGTTATAAAGGTATTGTAAGCAATTAGGATAGAGTCGCAATTTGGCTGACTTGGTTCACAAAATGTTGCACCTTTGTGCTCATACTAGATTCCATTTTAAATCTATGCTTAATCAATTCACGACGGTGTTATTTCTAGGT